TTCACACATACATTGCCACTGTTCGGTAGTGTAAGACATGTACAAGAGTTGTTGTTTGAAAGCGCTCATCAGCCATTGAAGAGGGGGGTAGCTCAATCCAATATGAAAAACTCACAATTACAGGCTATGGAACATCGTCTTGCCAACGACTGGAAGACTCGTCTGGCAATTGAAACTGAAGGCATTGACACTAGTGAGAACGGCTGGAGCTTTGAGACAGCGAAGTCGGTTTTAAATCTCTTGGGCTACGACAGTTCTGGGCTTCAGGATGCGGGAAGATTTCTACAAAAGCTTCAGGACTGCTTCCCAACTCCTGTTCTGCAGAACCTTCGATTACATCGGAAAGGACTCTTATCGTCGTCTCTCAGTAGGAAGGACTGGCGCGTAGACAATTCAGTAATTATGAACCTCGGAAACACTGCAGACGGAGGTCAACATTCGGAAATGTTCCAATCAACTGACCTTGCATTTCTGTTGAAAGCAAGGGAGTTTTTAGAGCATTTATGGAAACAAAAGCTACGTCTTAGAAGTGGCCGGCCGGACCATGGAAATTCCGTAACCGTACAGATATATGGAACTGCCAAGTGGTGCAAAATAACAGACGGGCGAAAAAGAGACCAGACATCTGTTTTGGCCACTATATCTTATGGGAGCGTGATTCAAGCCTTGCATTCTTCTGTAGTTTCGACCGCAGATCCTGATCTCACATTCACTCTTCATGAGAACAATGATTCTGAGCATGATGAGGACAGAAGGTTCTGGATGGTGCTAGCCGTGGTTCAAGTCCGGATTCTGGACGCTCGTGAGAAAGAAAGTCAAGAAACAACACGATATTGCGCAGTGAAGGAGTGCGAAGCTGAAGAAGATGGATACGGGGTGATGATACAACAACGAAACGAAAGAAGAGCGCTGGTTGAGCTTGGAAGCTACGTTCGAAAGGCATTAGTTATGCACTACTGCGAGCAGGACAGCGACGAAAGCGACGACCATATGTGTCTCATATGCACATCAAACTCAGCAGTACAACACAGGAGTCTCCCAGACGGTGGAATTTATCAAGTGTGGGGGCGAAAGGAAGGGTATCCGCCACGTCAGGCATAAGTATATGTGCGGAACAAGAACTCTGGTCTTTATTCAACAGTTTTTAGTACTACCACACAGCTCTGCATACTTTTATGCACTGACTATAAGCTCTGCGCCGGCCTCTATATCCGTAGTTGCGACATATAAACTGTATCGTTATTGCAAACAAAATTCAGGTCTGCTACCTTTGTGGGCTTGTTGCAAGGGGGCACGTTATGTATCCCCACCTTTCGAAGTCCGTGTCCCTACACCTCTCTAGTTCCTGCAGCCAGTCTGATCCTTAACTTTTTCGTTTTCCTCAACATACACCCACTCTCCTTGTCAACCGGTGCACCGTCATTGCTGTATAAAATTTGCAAAATTTGGGTGCAAATTTTGAGAGTTAGGACCGGTGATCAGTGGGAAGCTGTGATCAGTGGCCACTGATCACAGGCCGGCAGGGGGTGTCGTCCGACATCGTCATTGCTGTATAAAATTTGCAAATTGGGGTGCAAATTTTGAGAGTTAGGACCGGTGATCAGTGGGGAGCTGTGATCAGAGGCCACTGATCACAGGCCGGCAGGGGATTCAGGAGTAAGGAGTAGGATGGTTTTTGTACTTTAGGGATTCGCAGTGCTTCGGAGATTTAAAGGAGTCGGGGAGTAACTAGGATTAGAAGATTCGTGGGATCGGCTGTTGGAAACGTGATATCCCTGTTTCGGGTTCTCCAGGTACGAATAACGTCCGGGGAGGGCATGTTGTCCTTCGTCTGAAAACCGCGTCGACCATCATTGGCAATGCGAGCCATGATAGCTCGCAATGTATAATTGTTAATTGCAAATCCCCGGGAGGCAGTGTATTTAATGCGCTGCTTAATGATTTTGTCCTCGTCCGCTTTGACGACACGGGGGGCTCCGGGACAGTTGTTGGCTGGGTCAAGAAGGCGGGACAGTTTGTCGTCGTCCTTGGTCTTGAGACATTTTTGTAATCGGTCTGCTGTCCCACGACTGATGATCATCAGTGTGGTTCGCCTCACAGTCGACTATGAGGCGAACCACATCGGCAACCTTTTTTTCATCTTCAATAAATTTACCGCTGTCTGCCGTTTGTCTTTGGCCCTTGCGTCCCGTCTGTCCCTTGCTTGGCGCGCGCTGCCTGACGACGCATTCCAATCGACATCGGAGGGGGCGTGAATTGTCCGTAACTGGAGGCCAATCCCGGGAGCAGGACGAGAAGGTGTTTGATCGTGGATCAATTACTACTGTTTGGCCTTTAACGGTGCTGTGTGCCCGCCATTTTTTTGGCGGGACGGGGAGAAGCGAGGAGGTAACATTTCGGGAAACTGGAGGCCTGTTTCGTGAACATGACGAGAAAGTGTTTGATCGTGGATCAAATACTACTGTTTGGCCTTTAAAGGTGTTGTGTGCCGGCTATTTTCTTTTTTGGCGGGACGCGGAGAGGCACGGAGGTAACATTGCGGGAAACTGTAGAAGAGGTGAACGCTTAGGCCCCGGAGCGTTTCCCTGGAGTCCAGGGATGAAAGACTGCACCCATTGTCCGCACTGGCAGCAACGAGAACTGAATCATCAAATTAGCCTTTTTTACCAAATAATGCTTTAGGGAAGGGTATACCGCGCAGGCCTGCATGCGCAGACAAGTTTCTTTGGAATGACATGTAATGGCTGTCGCGCGACAAGATTTACAAAAGCTGTATGGCTGGCCAGCCATACTGGAACTAGATTAATTTTTGTTAATTTTTTAGAGGTTGATTCTAGTATGGGTAGCCACCCATACAGCTTTTGTAGATCTTGTCGCGCGACAAACACATCACACGTGTGGACCCAAATGCAATGTATTACACGTGTGGATCGATATGCAATGTTTTACACGTGGCGACCAAAATGCAATGTATTACACGTGGTGACCAAAACGCAATGTTTTACACGTGCGAGAAGCTGGTGGATGATGATTGGCCGATTATGATACGGAATCGTATACAGTGCCTCCTACGATATAGTGCTATAGCGTGACATACCTCTAGCTATGGCACTATTGGGGGGATGGCACTATAGAAAGGAGGCTCAAATACATATATTTGGGGACAAAGCACACTTGTAACACAAACACAACAAAGCCTGCATAACACAACAAAATAACTTCATCCTTTGAGTACTGAACCATGCCGGATGATACATGTGAGCGTATGAAAACCTGTGCCAGAGAGTGAGCCATAGCACCTGTGCCAGAGGGCGAGCCATAGCACTATATAGAGGGAAGCACTACTATAGTAGGCACAATTGAGCGACCCCCCCCTGCAACCGGTCCGTTCTGCCCAGAGAAAACCCCCCCTACTTCGCCTGCATACACTGTAAGTCTGCAACGTGTGCGGATGTTCACACACACCCGAACACGTGCAAGGCCCAGCAAGAGTACCTTCCTAGTAAACCTTTTAGAAACGCAAAAATCGCAGCGAGCAACGACAAAGTGCTCAAGGCAACCCTGCTTTCTACAAGAGCGTTTTCCGGCTACCGCAGAGACATTTGAAACAGCTTCAACCGTGTTGTACTTCACTGTTCGAGTAGAATCTTCGTTCCATCCTTCAGCATGGAGCCAATGACTGACCGCGGCTTTCCAAAAATGCCAGAACCAGGCGGCCGAGCCCATACTTTGGAGTCCTCAGCCTCGATGTGCTGGACTCTTTTATTCCTGGCTTACTCTTCTTCGACATTTGTCAACGAATTTGGACATGGATGGCAAGCAGCTTGGACGGTGCTATTAGTTTTGGTTCCAGTGTGCCTCGCCGGTGCACCCAACATCATGGACGGTCGCCGCCGCGCAGTCCCTATATTGGCAATTTACGTAGCGTATATCCTCATCCCGTCACTGCTTCAGCTCACAAAGCCAGACGACCACTCATCGCTTCGCTCCGAAATGGCCGACCTGATTACCGTTCTTTGCATCTGGCTTCCACTGGAATTTAAGCTGTTGTCATCGGACATATCACCGACTGGAAAGGTTACAGCCTGGGGCTTGTTCACCGCAGCTTTGACAGTCGTGAACTGCTTCACAATTCTACGCCCTTTTCAAAGCTGGCCCACGCTCGTGACTTGGGCTACACTTTCAAGGTAACCCCAGTCGATGTGCTGATAGCGCTAGCTGTGGGTGCTGCCTCTGATCTCATCACCGTTCCACTTGCCGCCCTAACCCAGTTTGCTGACGTCAAGACGCCACCTCGTTTAGACGCGGCCAAAGAAGCCGCCACTTTCCTAGGCATATTCATGAACGGCGTTACCGAGAAGCTTATATTTAGGGGTATGATTCAGAATATGTTGGAGCAACGCCTAGGCCACGGGTCCATATCTGCACTACTCATCGCGTCTGGTGCCTTCGGCATTGCACACTTAGGGAAATCAAAACTTGGATATGACCCGCCAAACGTTCGATACATGGCCTCCGCCTGTGTCACCGGTGTTGCGTGTGGGTTCGTATGGCGACAAACAGGAAAAGTCACAGCTTCCGCGCTGACGCAGGCCACGTCGAATTACATTATGTGGCGCGTCGCGTTAAGCAAAAAAGTTGGCCAGTAGACAGCGTTTTTTCGCAGCTAGAGTCCCTGTATAGCACTTGACAATGATTTCCACTCTTAAACTCACTGAGCACACTCTAATGCTAGTCTAGTTCGTCCCACAGGTCATCGTGCTTGTCAATATCGACCCATTCTCGGGTAGGGTTTTTCGTGTAGAGCGTGGCATTGAATTGTCCAGGTCGCCCATATGTCTCTCCATTAGCACCTTCGAAGCGAAACGGGTTACTTGACATGAGCACGCAGTTTGACTCCTCGCCGGGAAAAGCCGGAACAGAGATTCCCTTTTCCAAAAGTAGCTTTGAGGAAGATGTCGACCAGCTATAAAGTGGTAGCCCCCGGCAAACACATTTGATCCAAGCTTTGGTGCTTCTAAAGACACTAGCACTTCGGGTTTGATAAACGAATCTGCTGTCACATCAATTTTTCTTGGACCCGTCGAAAGATCCCAGCCAGATGGTACATCAAGGCTCACAATCGCAAGCCGAGTTGAGATTAGCATCTCGTAAACAGTCCAGTACTGTTGTCGAATGTCCCCCCCATCAAAGCCAGTTCCAAGCAAGGCATCTACAACGATGTCATAATAAAACTCTAGCGTGCTGGGAATGAAGTCGTGCAAGTCGATTCCGGCTTCATCGCAGACATATCGGAAATTAGCATGCTTAGATTGCTCTGCAGCATAGACCGCTGGTGCATAACCTCTCTTCTGCAGCTCTACAGCGACTTGCAATCCAATTAAGCCGTTTAAACCTGAGCCGCAAGCAGTAAACACATCTGATATTTCTTCTGAACCATAGCATTGTTGTAATGCATCACAAAATCCACTTGCACAGGTTCTAGCCATAACCACAACGTCCCCACCTGAGTATGTAATAGCATCATTAATGGCTTGATTTGCCAATTCCGGGGAAATATGAGTCTGCCGGGGTTTGGAGTTATCTCGTTGCTTACTGCTTTTGTCCACTTCCATTTGCATCGATATTCTGCCTTGCGACCTTCTGTGTCCTGCGACTCTGAAGTGCTTGGCACGGGCTCTCTTGGAGTTGCACAGAAATGCGTGAATTCATGGGTCTCGCCAATGGGCTCGAGACTTCAAACGCTGTCTTCTGAGAAGCCATGATTACACACGGAGGGATTCTTCTAATGCGACCAGCCTGGCCTATTCCCAAAACGATTGATTGGAGGTGAGAATGATGCAAAGCAAGCAAAATGTATTCTGGAGTGCAGCCTTTCTAGGGTGACGCTTGAATGCTTCAAGACTCCAGTCTCACGAAGCCTCTATGACTGTTTTCTGACTGCTGTGCACGTCCTAAAGCAGGAAATCGAAAATTGTGGCGGCAAGACGTACTTGAAGCTGGAGCCGAAAAGCTGTACTTGGTGTCCTCAACTGCTTGTGCTGCAATCTGCACTGATGTGTGCCCTGGGACTTTGCTTGGTCAATTTGAGGTCGTGGGATTACTCAAAACACCGGTCAATCTCAAAAGAATGAAAAAATTCAATTTCAATGCCACACCAACCATCTTCCGTAATTTTTCAACGAGACGAAGCCCAGTTTTGTGAGATTGCTGTGTGTCTCAAGCAGTGTTACGAGGCATTCGGTTGCCAGGTGGCGGCTGGACACGCGTACCACGGGGCGGAGCGCATCCGTATACCGCCGAAGGACGGGCAAGCGAAAGGCGGGAAGGAGGGAGCGAGACAGCACGCGCGGGGAATTGGGGGTGCCAGCCACCGGGGAGACGAAGGGAAACCATAGGCCGCACGGGGCTCGGGCTGGGGCAGAAAGACCGCGCAGGTCGCCGGCCGAGGGCGCGAAGGGAAAATGGCACGAGGGGGTGGCTACCGGTGGGGCAAGGGGAAGCTGGATCGAAGGGGAAATTACGGGAGGGAGGGTTGGGGATAGCCGACTCATCCCGGGGAACGTGTACTTAAGAAGCCATCCCCGAAGATAGGAAGGGGGAGGCAGCAGACTTGTGAGGAGTAAAAGAATACGGGTGGATTCCCGTCATTACAGGTCGCTCGGTGCCCCGCGGCAGAATTGCCGCAACAGCACCCCTCAATATACTTTCCTCGCGTCTTTCGCGCTCACAATGTCAAGAATGACAAGCACCTCTAGCTATGGCACTATTGGGGGGATGGCACTATATAAAGGAGGCTCAAATACATATATTTCGGGACAAAGCACACTGCTAACACAAACACAACAAAGCCTGTATAACACAACTAAATAACTAGCACTATATAGAGGGAAGCACTACTAAAGTAGGCACTATTGAGCAACCCCCCTGTAACATATAATGGCTGTCGCGCGACAAGATTTACAAAAGCTGTATGGCTGGCCAGCCATACTGGAACTAGATTAATTTTTGTTAATTTTTTAGAGGTTGATTCTAGTATGGGTAGCCACCCATACAGCTTTTGTAGATCTTGTCGCGCGACAAACACATCACACGTGTGGACCCAAATGCAATGTATTACACGTGTGGATCGATATGCAATGTTTTACACGTGGCGACCAAAATGCAATGTATTACACGTGGTGACCAAAACGCAATGTTTTACACGTGCGAGAAGCTGGTGGATGATGATTTGCCGACTATGATACGGAATCGTATACAGTGCCTCCTACGATATAGTTCTATAGCGTGACATACCTCTAGCTATGGCACTATTGGGGGGATGGCACTATATAAAGGAGGCTCAAATACATATATTTGGGGACAAAGCTCACTGCTAACACAAACAATGCCTGCATAACACAACATCATTTGGTCAGGGTCTACTTTAAGACAGAACCATGCCGGATGATACATGTGAGCGTATGAAAACCTGTGCCAGAGAGTGAGCCATAGCACTATAAAGAGGGAAACACTACTAAAGTAGGCACTATTGAGCGACCCTGTAATATGTAATGGCTGTCGCGCGACAAGATTTACAAAAGCTGTATGGCTGGCCAGCCATACTGGAACTAGATTAATTTTTGTTAATTTTTTAGAGGTTGATTCTAGTATGGGTAGCCACCCATACAGCTTTTGTAGATCTTGTCGCGCGACAAACACATCACACGTGTGGACCCAAATGCAATGTATTACACGTGTGGATCGATATGCAATGTTTTACACGTGGCGACCAAAATGCAATGTATTACACGTGGTGACCAAAACGCAATGTTTTACACGTGCGAGAAGCTGGTGGATGATGATTGGCCGATTATGATACGGAATCGTATACAGTGCCTCCTACGATATAGTGCTATAGCGTGACATACCTTTAGCTATGGCACTATTGGGGGGATGGCACTATATCCCTGTGCTCCGTTTTGTGACGATTTAGGGCGTCACAAAAGTGAGACGATTTGTGTGACGATTTGTGAGAGTTTTGCTCTTTTCGCCGCCTTCATCTCATTCGTCTCACTCCATCTTCTTATTCGTCACACATGGTTTGTGATTATTTGTTGAATTGTAGCACTTTTTGAGAACGTTTTGTGATCATGACAAAAATCGTCTCAAACATCACACATTTTCGTGAATCTTTTGTGACGGTTTTGTGAGACGCATCTCAAAACTCTCAAACGTCAACCTTGAAATAAAAACTCTCACACTGATAATGTGCATTTTGTGATGGCAGTGTGCATTTTGTGATGGCTTTGTGTGAGTTGTGTGAGGGGATCACGAAGATCACATATGAAAGTGTTTGTTTATTGACAAGGTGCACCTGAGCCGGTAAGGAATCACCTTACTCGCCCAGGACCGCTCGTAAAGTAGACAAGGACCACTAAAGTAGAATTAGTCATCCTACTGCCATTAGTCTAATTGTTTGAGAAAATTAACGGTGGCACGATATTGACTAAGTAACCATCACCTCCTTTAGAATTCCATAATGCCTAGCTGGACAATAAATGGAGTGCATACCACCGATTGCACAAATGGTTGGATAAACCGCTCTGTCTCTCCCTCTGTATCTCTCTGTCTGTCTCTGTCTCTGTCTCTCTCTATGTTTATACCCATCTCTCTATATGTTTATCCAATTCTTTATGGTGACCATCTATCTATGTGTGTGTCCATCTCTCTATATTTGTGTCCATCTCTCTTCCTTGTATCCCTCTCTCTCTCTATCCCTCCCTCTCCGCCTCTCTGGCTGCATCTCCTCTTCCCTCTATCTGTTTATGTAAACAAGTGTCTTTAAAAAGATTTTTGGGGTTTCCTTCCCTATACTCTATATTGTAGTCCCATTTTCTCTGCAGTATTCGTGAAGGTGCGTTGTTGTCGTACGAAAGCGACGCTTTTTCAGTGACTGGGGCGGACACGAATTGTCGGCACTTATAAATACTTGTTTGTCTATGAGAGGTGGACGTTGAAAAAGGTGGTTGTGAAGTGGGTTGCGTCCTGTGATCAGTGGCCACTGATCACAGGCCGGCAGGGGGTGTCGCACTACACCGTCATTGCTGTATAAAATTGCAAAATATTGATGCAAATTTTGAGAGTTAGGACCTGTGATCAGTGGGGAGCTGTGATCAGTGGCCACTGATCACAGGCCGGCAGGGGGTGTCGTACGACATCGTCATTGCTGTATAAAATTTGCAAAATTTGGTGGCAAATTTTGCAGGATGGGAGCTGTGATCAGTGGCCACTGATCACAGGCCGGCAAGGGTGTCGTACGACACCGTCATTGCTGTAAAAAATTTGCGTACTTCTCGAAACACAGTTGTCTTCATGACCCTGCTGCATATTTGCATCATTTTTGAACAAACGTATACGTGTTCCTGCTGTACTTTCTGTATCCTGTGCAAATGCATTATTTACGTATTTTAATTAGTTCTAACTCTCCGTTGGCGTCGTGTGATCAGCCGCCGCTGATCACATGCCTGACAGGGGTGCCGTACGACACTAGGTATCATTTCCCACCAAAGTATAATCACAATTCAATACCATCCAAATTTTGCAAATTTTACATCAAGGACGGTGACGGACGGCACCCCTCGCCGGCCTGCGATCAGTGGCGACTGATCACAGCTCCCAAATCTCAAAATTTGCACCCCAAATATTGCAAATTTTTACAGCAATGACTATGTCGGACGGCATTCTTCGCCGGCCCGTGATCAGTTGCCACTGATATCAGGACGCATCCGGTTCAAATACGTAAACATTGCCTTTAAATCCGATGCAAATTTATACAGCAAGGACTGTGTCGCGCGACGCAGGAAGTATTCGGACATTTTCTCCCTTTTAGAAACCAGCGGCCGTCGAAAACGCCGAGCCGAAACCCAACCCCGGCCTTCCCCAGAACGTGCATATGCGGAGGTGCCATCATTAAGCGTACGCAATCTTCGGGCTATTTTTAAACCAAGGTAATCGCAGGCTCCAGGCAGCCGACTCATTGCTTTCTCAATATCCCCACCCTTTCCAACCTCAGCCCGAAAAATGAAAAGTCATGCGCAACGCGCTGTGGCATGAAGTTCAGCTAACGCCATTTTCCATCTGGACCGGAATTACCATCATTACAACAACGGTGCCTCTGCGCCCCGCATCCTTAGGACGGGATTCTAGGGCATTATAATGTATATCGCAAGCTTGTGTTGCTCGAGCGCGTTCACCAGGCGGGAGGATTCTGACGAATATTCGTGTTCACTTGTAGTCCTCAAACGCAATAAAGTTCGTTTACGTACTGCAGTTTCATATGACTAATGCAATGATTTGATATTCGTTTCTTTTTTCGGCGTCCGTAGGGTTCACTAGCACCACTTGTACACACCGTGCCTGGCCTTATTCCACGGTCACCCATTCTGAGGGTGAGTTTTCTCCCTCCTTGATATAAAGACCGGTACGGACACGTAGGGTCCGTACGTTACCGTGTGTAAAATCTGGCTTGAGGCCTAATTCTAAACGGTCCCGAACTCTTCTTCTGATTACCGCTCAAGTGATTCTAGTGGTGACAGTGATTCACAGAGGAAGGGCACTGATGAGGACGACATCCAAGAGTAGGTACTGGGTATTTCATACTTTCAATAGCGAGAACAGTATCATCATCACTCTGTAGTGACACTTCTATCTTCATTGCACAATTAAATCTAAAGCAACTATGATTAAAAGAACAGTAATTCAATGACACATGACTGACTTTCAAAGCAATCCGGACTGGATGATGTCGGTACCTTTGGAGCCCATACCCAGCTGTTCACTTGCACGTCTAAGTCTCATGGTATTTAGATGCTGCACAGAGCCGTGCATCTTTAAATGTGACCGTTACAAAAATATCGATTTCACAAAAAACACATATGTCTATATACTGACTACGTTCCAATGGTTACCCCCAACTCTTTAGTCTTCGGTATATATTTCAAACAAATTTCTCAAGTATCACTTTCCAAGGGAAATTAACGGAGGACGATACCATCCACCAGTTGATAATGGTATCAGATCTTTTCAATGGCCTCCAATTCGGGAGTGATATAGAGGTCTACTATACCTTGGAGAATGAAGAAGAAAGCAAGGCATGGTTCCCAGCAACAGTCATTAGTCTCAACTACCTTCATGATGATCGTCGAGAGGTGCTCAAAGGGACCATTCAATACAAGGCAGCGTTTGGATTCAGGGCATGTAAAAGCAAGGTTACTTTCAAGGAGGGAAACGAGTTTGTACAAGATGGACAAAAGTTTAGCTGGAGACTCAAAGATACATCCGTGCGATTGGATAACAGCGCAAGCTCAGACGTGGCAAGCGCATCGATGGATGCAGATGATATGGACTATGCTCCAGGTAGTGCCATGGTAGAAAAATGCAAGAAGGTTAACCACACGACGACTGTCTCACTTGACCAGAATACAATCAAAGATACTCGTGAGCTAAATGCTCTTTCCAGACGCCTTCAGTATCTTGAGGAAGTGGTGAAAGGACAGCAATCCTCGATTACGAC